CATAATGGGCAATGGATTCCGGACAGATGAAAGGGAAACATCTCTACTCAACTAGTAATTAAACTGTGGGTTTCACTACCAGTGGATATAGTGATATCTGTGAGCAAAGATGGCTTTAAAAGGGGATTAGACAGATCTGTGGAGAACAGCTCCATCAGTGGCTACTAGCCAAAAAGACTAAAGGGAATCTCCAGGTTCAGAGGCAGTAAACCTCTGGATAGCAAAGCTAGGAGGCAACATCAGAGGAATGCCTTGGCCTCTATGCTCTGTTTGTTGGACCTCCATGGCAGCTGTTTGGCTCAGTGCCGGATTTACGCATAAGCTAAATAAGCTACAGCTTAGGGCCTCGCAATCTGCTGGGGCCTCAAATAAAAACACAATATAAAAAAATGATTTCAAATATTAAAAAGGCGTATATATTTTACATTTTTCTGAGACCAGCTGATGTAATTTAAAACAATAGGGGGCCTCTGGGTTTTGTATAGCTTAGGGCCTCAGCAAGTCTAAATCCGGCCCTGGTTTGGCTGCTGTGTGAAACAGAAAGCTGAACTAGATGAACCACTGATCTGATTCAGCCAGGGCTGCCAGGACCCCCGCTATGACAGCAGCCTTCCTTGCCCACTGCTACTGCTTGCCCACTTCCTTGCCCACTGCTACTCCGAGAAGCAGCGGGAGAAATTAAAAAACAAAAACTTGCCATTTTGTGTATGCCACAACATCACTTCTGGGGGAAACCTAGAAGTAATGTCCGGTAGCATTAGGAATTGCCAGAAACTCTATGATCTTACCATAACATTTCCAGTGATTCCTAGAGCTCCCCAACATCACTTGCAGGTTTTCCCCGGAGGTGACATCACAGTGCACACAGCCTCACACCCTCAATGTCCTCACCTCTAAAGCTCCCGCCAGTTACCAGGCACAGCCTGGTAACCCTAGATACAGCACAGCTCTGCTTATGTTCTAGTTCTAGTGTGTTGTGTTGTTACAGGATTAGACCAGGAGCTGAGAAATCAGTGTTTAAATCTCCTTATAACATGAAGCTCATTGGGTTTGAGTCTGTCACCGTCTTCCAATCTAACCCACCTCAAAGGGTTGTTGTTGGAAAAATGGAGATGAGAACTACATCGTTCACTGTGAACCCTTTGGTTGAAGGGTAGGATACAAATACACTAGAGAGACAGGCAAAGCAGCCAACAGTTTAAATCCTGGCAGCTTATCTCCTTAGACATGATACACAGGTAGAAATGAATGGATAACTTGACCAGACATTTCTGCTGGAGTTGCACTTAGCATTGAAAATTGAATGTCATGAAGACTGATCTCTAAAGCCAGACAACCAATTTCTACCTTTCCTTCCCTATCCACTCTTTTGCAGCTGTCACAAATACTTTTTACCAACCCAGACTCCCAGGCATGTATCTTTAGAACCTATACTTGATACAGGTGGGATTCAGAATCCATCAAACCGCTAGAAAGTAGTGTTATGCAGAGAGTAAAGCTCTATGACTGCGGAAGGAGGCAAAGAAAATGGCTTCAGCCTCTTAGACATGGTAGACATCGCAGATCAGTGACAGAGGCAGCAAGAAGGCTGGGCCCAGTTCTTAAACTGAGCCAAACAAGCCCATGAGGAGAAGGGAACCCTGAGCAGAAAGAATCTTTTCTCCCACCAGGGGTCATTTCGTAGAAAAAGAGCTAGGGGGACTCATCTAATTGGGGGATGTGAAGGGGCCGCCATTGGGAGGTTCCACTCAGTGGGAAACAGAAATAAAACATGAGTTGGTTCCTCAAATCCCAATCCACCAAGCCAGGTTAAAATACTGCTACAGAGTCAAAGAATACCAGGGCTCCAAACAGTAGAAATTCAGCCCCTTAAAGCCCAGGCCCAATTCACACAAGAGGCCTTTAAGAAATCCTCCTTATAGCCAGAATCCTCCAGTTGGCTGTTGTGATGATGGATTCTGACAGGTGTAACAGTCAGCGGACAATCTACACCTTTCTTGGAGTTTTCATCCAAATGCTTGTTCAATCTCCAGCTCCACAAAGACTCTCCTCGCAGCACCAGAGTGGCACTTGCAGGATAGGGTGGGATGGAAATTGAATGCACTAAACTAAACTAAACAAGGGAAGTCCCTAATCTCTGCCACTCTCTTTCTCTACCACTGCATTTCCCCCTTCTTCTACAGAGTATTGTCCTGCGTGTCTGGATAATATTGGTTTTGTGAAAAGTGGCAGAATATTGGAAGATTTGCATATATCGAAGTCTGTTCCAATGCATCTTCCCATTTGAAAGATCTCAAGCTAGGGTTGCCAGGTCCTCTCAAAGTCCCCAGGGGCATTACAGGAGAGAGTGGGGAGTCCTCAACGTGATGACGTCACACAGAAGTGACATCATCACACCGGGGGGGGGGCCTGGAGTGCAGGCACGCGGCCCTCACCTCCTCCCAGCAGCATTTAAAGGATGTCTTTAAACGCTGTTGGGAAGAGGTGGGGGAGGCCGGGTGGTCGTTCTTGGGGGTGGGGCTTCCCCCGCCTGCCGGCTGGCTGGCTAGCAGCAAAAGGGTGCCCCCCCAACCGGGGAAATCTCCGTGGAACTGGGGGGTCTGGCAACCCTATCTCAAGCTAAGGTTGCTGGCCTTGTGGTAGGGCCTGGGGTTCTCCTGGAATCACAACTGCTCTCCAGACTTCCCACTCCACCCCAAATTCTGCTCTCCCAGCGGCACTACTGAATCTTCAGGAATTTCCCAATGTAGAGTTGGCTACCCTACCTCAAGCTGCTATACTGGGGAAAATACCACTGAAAGTACAGAGACCCACCCACAGCAGGAAGACTGTACAGGGCTGCAGAGAGCAAGGCCTCAGTCAGTCATTTCTTCTTTGATCTCACAGAAATGTCCCCAAGGGCAAGGGGAAGAATAGTAGTTATTAATGGGGTGTAACGGAGTGAATGCGGAAGTGTGATAAAAAGCTCACCAGTCAATTGCTTTAAAATGTTTCCCTTTCTGTATTCCAAGAATGCCAATTTTTTTCTTCAGTCTTCAAAATGTTTTCATTACCAAGCTGCTATCAGAATGCGAAATCCCTGTTTTGACAAACCTCACATCCCCTACAAGTTAAATAACAAGCACCATGGCCAAGGAGAAGATCAGAATACATGAAAAATAATCCTTCCAATTAAACAAAACACTAGAAGACAGAAAGAAGATGGGTAAATTAGATCCGTTCTCTTTCCCAGTGAGAAGTCTCAGCTAGAACTCTTCTCCATAACATCTAATTTTGTGCATGGTTTGTAGGAACCAGGCTTAAATTGCTTTTTGTTGTTCAGTCGCACAGTTGAGTCCAACTCTTTGTGACCCCATGAACCACATCATGCCAGGCCCTCCTGTCTTCAATCATCCTCCAGAATCTGCTTAATTTCATGTTTGTTGCATCGATAACACTGTCTAACCATCTTATCCTTTGTTATCCCCTTTTTTCCCCCCTTCAATCTTTCCCAGCATCAGGGAGTGCTCCCTTCTCATTTGGTGGCCAAAGTATTTGAGCTTCAGCTTCAGTATCTGGCCTTCCAGGGAACAGTCAGGGTTGATTTCTTTTAGGATTGACTGATTTGATCTCCCTGCAGTCCAAGGGACTCTCAAGAGTCTTCTCCAGCACCATTAAATTGCTTCCATATCATAATTTAGATTCAGAAACAATTACCTCAATGCTGTTCTGCCACAATTGTTATCCTTTCGCAGCATCCTGTCCACAGACAAGGGATTCAACCATATGTCCTCCTTGGTGACAATCCCAAATCAATAAAAGGTCACCATCTTTTTCTAGGGAACTCCCCCAGTCAGAGAATAACTTTATACAATCATTTAATCCAGTGTGGGCACTTGTGAAGAAAGGAGCACATCATACCTTTGGGGAACCTACATGAAGAAGTTTGCCTACACTTCTCCACTTGAGCTGGCAGGGCTTTATTGTTGTTGTGCTCTGTCACATTCAGTGATTCTGCAAACTCTCCTTATTCTTCTCCCTCAACACGCAGGATAAAGCCAGCCTTCATGTCATCCCAGGCTACATACAGTGGCCTTCTTAGGGGCATGGCTGAGCCCAGCCTCTTCAGTTTGCACACTCACACACTCACACTCCCTGCGTCTCCCCTGCCCACTCCCTTTCTCCTCCCTCTGCTCTCACAGCTGGATAACCGCCCCCCTGCCTCACTGTGCTTTTTAGCACAGTCTCCTCTCCAGGACCCATGCCAATCACCTTCACCCCAGGCATCCAAACTCCTCTGGCCAACCAGATAGTTCTAGAAGCTCACAAAGAGAGCCTGAAAAGGACAACCACCTTCCAGTTCATTTTCTTGTAATCAAAAGCATACAACTTCTGAACATGACAAGTCCATTTAGTTGCCATGACTAATTACATTACATTACATATTAGACTTCTATACCGCTCCTTCCCGAAGGCTCGGAGCGGTTTACATAGACATTTAATTGCCTAGCTAGGGCCACAATGCAAGGGGGAGGGTGAATGCCTTACCAGGCCCCTACGCAGCAATGATCTTCTTCTGTTGTTCTTTCGTGGCGGATTTCGTGGTGTCCTATTGACACCTAGGAGCTTGCCTAATCTATTTTTAAAAGCCAATACCACACCTTATGTAACAAAGCCCATCAGTTGCCTGCTTTTTGTAGCATGTGAAGAAGTATTTATTTTGTGAGCCATAACCCTACTATCAATCCATTTCGTGGGATAGCCCTCGTGCTCTAGCATTCTAAGAGGGATGAATTCCACTTTCTGCACGCTGATCATAATCTCATAAATGACATAGTATCATAATTGTTATTGTTGCAAGGAAAGAATTTCCAACATTTTAAATCCAGTTTTCATTTCATTTTAGTAGCCAGGGTTGTCTAGTGGTTAGAGTATTGGACTAGGGTCTAGGAGACCTGGGTTCAAATCCCATCCTGCCAAGAAGCTCACTGGGTGACCTTGGGCCAGCCACTGTCTCTCATCCTAACTTACCTTAGGGGGCTGTTGCAATGATAAAACAGAGGAATACTATTCACTCGAGCACATAATGGAGGAAAGGAGAATGATATAAGCGGCTTTGGGTCCCTACTGAGAAGAAAGGAGGGGTATAAATTAAGTATATAACTAAATTTGCTTGTGGGAGAAAAGGCAGGATAACAAAGTGATTTTATATGTTCTTTAATTTTTTGTTTCCCTAAGCCTAAGCATCCATATTAAATTTACAGTAACACAACTGGCAATTCCTATGGAGGATCCGGACAAGATAAGATGGAATTAGAACTACGGGGACATGAGCGGCTATTACAAGATCGTGCTTTGTGCTTTGTCTCTTTTTAAAGAGGTATTTTCAACTTAGCGTTGGTTATTCTTGTTTTATATTTCTATTTTCCCATTAAAATTAAATTAAACATTAACAGAAATATGCACCTATGGTCAATCACTGAAAAACACTGAAGTAACATTGATACGAAGTAATGTTGATATGATATGATATGATAACGATTTTTTCCCATCTCCCAAACAATATGAAGTAATGTTGATATGACATGATAACGATTTTTTCCCATCTCCCAAAACACTAGAACTTGGGGGCATCTAATGAAGCTGATGGGCAGTAGGTTCAGGACAGACAAAAAGAAATACTGCTTTACACAGAGAGTGATTAAAATGTGGAATTCGCAGATAGAAGATGTGGTGATGGCCACAGGAATAAAAAGCTTTCAAAGGGGATTAGATAGATTCATGGAGGATAAGTCTATCAATGGCTACTAGCCATGGTGACTGGGGAAAACCTCCACATTCAGAGGCACTAAATCTCTGAATCCCAGAGCCAGAAGACAACATCAGGGAAAGGCCTCGACCTCTAAGGCCTGTTGTTGGCTGTCCAGAGGAGCTGGTTGGCCACTGTGTGAGACAGGAGGCTGGACTAGATGGACCACTGGTCTGATCCAGAAGGGCTCTTCTTATGTTCTTAGCACAGCATATACACTCCATGTGCGCACCCAGTAATAAAATGCAAGACTTCATCATTCCAGGGTACCAAGATCTTTGTCTATCTCCTGCTAACTACAAAGGAAGGAAAGCAAAGCTTCGAAGGCTGCAGCTGGGTGGCAGTTATTTCTTGCCTCATCTTCAAGCTGAGCCATCAAGCATTTTTATGGATGTGTCTGGCCCAAGTTCATCAAGACCTCTGTGGCTGCGGCTGACCTTAATCTGTGTCTTTCACGCTGGATGAATGCTGTGTCTGTTCCTGTGGTCATTACACTCCACTGGTCACAGGAAGAGATCAGGAAGCAACCTGTGTTGTGGAACTCTGTCCCAGGCCTCCTGTAGAACACTTCCCTGTTTATCTAAAACAACAGCACACACGGCCGCCTCAAAAGCTTCTGTCAAAAAATATAAACTCTTTGGAAATCTTTCCATTCCGCTTCCCCTCCCCCCCCCCACCCCAGCAGCTCTTGAGAACCAAAAGCTGACTCACCCTCTTATGCAGGATAGTCTATGACTCATTTCCCTTAACACTTCAGTTTCTGTGGCTCATTTTGCCCAGTAGACGCCTCACGCCAATTTCTGATGCAGAGAGAAGGGGGGAAAGCGGGCACAGGACAAAGGCATAGTACAGTACAGTTTCAAAAAATCCACTTGGTTCCAGACCACTGAGAAAGCATATTTCACAATAAATCTGAAGGGGAAAGTATTCTGTTACCAGAACAGCTGGAGCCTGAAGGAAAACCAGGCGAGATATTAAAATGTTCTGCCGAAACTCTAGAGTGTTACATTTTCAGATTCTAGTGAAAAGGGACTCCAGTGATTAATGCCTGAGAAGACAGCTCCGAGGCTCCAGCCAACAAAATTATTCTTTTTACTAGAGAAACCATCTTCTTCTCCAGACTCAGACAATGAAAAAAACCCTCCAGGTGGGGCCTCAACATCTCCCAGAATTACAACCTGGGATCAGCCGCCCTGGCTCCTGTTTCCTACTGCCATGATGGCTGCCACTGAGATGAAAATTAAAAAGCACTGTCAGGCAACAGCATGGTGTCCCACGTCTGGGAAAAACCCAGAAGTGACATCAGTCCACTTCAGAAATCACCAGAAACACCATGGTAAAACTAGAGAGTTTCCAGTGGTTCCTAGAGAAGACAGAGGACTCTTCTAGGTTTTCCCTGGAAGTGATGGCATCCCATTGCTCAACTATGCCCCCTATGTCCCCACTCCCCCATACTCCAGCCAGTTGCTAAGCTGTAAACCTAGACAGCATGACAAAAAGTAGAGACATCACCCTGCCAACAAAAGTCTGTATGGTCACAGCGATGGTATTCTCAGTAGTAATGCATGGCTGCAAGAGTTGGACCACGAGGAAGGCCGAGCGCTGAAGAATAGATGGTGCTAGAGAAGACTCTTGAGAGTCCCTTGGACTGCAAGGAGATCAAATTAGTCAATCCTAAAAGAAATCAACCCTGACTGTTCCCTGGAAGGCCAGATACTGAAGCTGAAGCTTTAATACTTTGGCCTCCAAATGAGAAGGGAGCACTCACTGGAGAAGACCCTGATGCTGGGAAAGATTGAAGGTCAAAGAAGAAGGGGGCAATAATGCAGCCTTGACAGTAGGTTCCCAACTGGGGCAATCGAGGATATTACGAGCCAACTACAGTATGTTGAATTGCAATGTGCTCAACTATGCCCCCTATGTCCCCACTCCCCCATACTCCAGCCAGTTGCTAAGCTGTAAACCTAGACAGCATGATAAAAAGTAGAGACATCACCCTGCCAACAAAAGTCTGTATGGTCACAGCGATGGTATTCTCAGTAGTAATGCATGGCTGCAAGAGTTGGACTATAAGGAAGGCCGAGCGCTGAAGAATAGATGGTGCTAGAGAAGACTCTTGAGAGTCCCTTGGACTGCAAGGAGATCAAATTAGTCAATCCTAAAAGAAATCAACCCTGACTGTTCCCTGGAAGGCCAGATACTGAAGCTGAAGCTCAAATACTTTAGCCTCCAAATGAGAAGGGAGCACTCACTGGAGAAGACCCTGATGCTGGGAAAGATTGAAGGTCAAAGAAGAAGGGGGTGGCAAAGGATGAGATGGTTAGACAGTGTTATCGATGCAATGAACATAAAATTAAGTGGACTCCGGAGGACGGTGGAAGACAGGAGGGCCTGGCGTGATGGGGTCCATGGGGTTGCGAAGAGTCAGGCTCAACTATGCAACTGAACAACAACAACAAAATCCTACAGAGATCAAACTATAGAGAACAACTCTCCTGGAGAAAATGGCTGCTGGGGGGGGCGTTTCCTGCCGTAGCAAAAGGCTTGGCAGCCCTAGGTTGGCTATTATGTATGCAATATTCCATTTACTTGTAGGACAGGATTAGGATACTCAGGCTCCTGCTCTTTGGTTCATACGGCAGAGACAGGTATGTTAGTCAATAGTCATTTGTTAACAAGGATATGCAAACAGAGTAGCTACTGGTTTCAGAACAAGGGAGCTCCTGTACTTGGTACTACTAGCCAACAAACCGATCTAAGTAAGCAGGGGCTCCACTCCCTGAGAATAAAACAAACTCAAACACCAGGTGCAAAGCAGACCATTGCATTGTAATTTATATCTAAAACAGAATAAATATACCACAATGGGAAACAGGATGTTGGCCTAGATGGACCATTGGTCTGTTCCTACATTGCTGCTCTTATGTTCTTCCCGAAATTACTACAACATGTGCATCAGGGGTCATTTCCTACAGGAGCGCACAGGAGCGGAGCTCCGGCAGTAAAGAGCCCAGGGGGCGGGCACATGCAACATGCCCCACCCCCTGCTCCCAGCAGCCCTCAGTCAGAGCAAGAAGCAGCCAGGTAAGTTGCAGAGCTCCCCCGGCCCAAAACAGTCCAGTGGCACCTTTAAGACCAAGTTTTATTTAGGTACAAGCTCTCCCTCCTCTGCAAGGATAGATCTGCACGTTTCCCCCTCCCCCAATAGCTAGCAATCCAAAACAGTCCAGTGGAGCCTGAGTGGTGGGTGTTGTCTTTTGACACACTGCCGGTGATGTCAGGGGGTGTGGCATATGCTAATGAGTTATGCTAATGAGTTATGCTAATGAGCTCCTGCACCTCTTTTTCTACGAAATGACCCCTGATGTGCATGAATCTCAGCAAAATCAAGTTTGCCTCATGTACAGGCATCAATAATGCAGCCTTGGCAGTAGGTTCCCAATTGGGGCAACCGAGGATATTACAAGCCAACTACAGTATGTTGAATTGCAATGCAGAAATCAGAGGATATTGCACATTCCAGAAATCAGATTCAGGGTCTGTTTGGAATCATTGCTGTACACGTGCTGTAAGAACTTTAGGTAGCCTTTGCAAGTCACAAGACCCTTTTGAGAGGCAACAGGGGCCCATTCTGCATCTAGCATTCGCTCTGCTGTTTTACCAAACACACGTTGGAACAGAAATTCCCCTCTACATTGCAGGCCTCTTTCACTTTGATTGACACTTGGATTTTATGGCAGTGTCCAGGCTGCATGCTGCTTTCACTTCATTTGATCTCTCGGTTTTATGGTACCGTCTGCATAGATTTATGGCCATTTTATGGCCATTCAGGGGTGACTTTTCAGTCAGTACGGCATTGGCCCAGGGTATCTGAATGTAGTTTTGAGCCACATCTTTTTCTTTTCCGATGTGGGTTTGGTAAAACAACAGAGCGAATGCTAGATGCAGAATGGGCCAGGGAAAGACAGGAGCAGAAAGCATTCACTCATTACTATTTCACAAATGACGGAATGTATGGAACTCATATTGGCAATAACTATCACTGCTAGACTTGAAAACCAAGAAAGTTGGCAGGAGCTGGACTTTGCTCCTACCTTCCCCCATTCCCAGGGTGTGGGGGTGCCAAGACTGACCCATCACCACTGCCACCTATCTTTGCTGCCAGGAGAAAGCATCAAAATGACTGAGACAAGCTGCGATGACTCAAAATTGGTCCCGACTCCTTGGGGGAAAGAGAAGTGCTCAGATTCACTTATAAAACATTAACACAAGTTGTCTAGTTGTATAATACTTCCAAATCCTATTTGACAGTAGTGGTAGTGGAAAGTGCTTTCAAGTCACAGCCGACCTATGGAGACCCCATAGGGTTTTCAAGGCAAGAGAGGTTCAGAGGTGGTTTTGCCATTGCCTGCCTCCACGTCATGACCCTGGCATTCCATGGTGGTCTCCCATCCAAATACTAGCCAAGGCTGACCCTGCTTAGCTTCCGAGATCCAATGAGATTAGGCTGCTTTGATGATACACCATAGAAAATGGGAAGGAAATGCATAGTGAAGGTAAGAATGGTTCTA